AAAGGACGCTTATTGTGACGTAACTATAAAAGATAGAGACATGCTGTGGACATTTTTTATAGATAGTGATGTGTCCTGAAAAATTGTAGTACATCATTTTGTTATATCATTAATAGTTTTCGCAGCGTACACGATTGAAGGAAGTTTTTTGTTTATTTTTTTACACCTTGGGTTACATTATTCAAGTTTTAGTAAGCATCCCTAATTTTTTTGAAAATGAAATATACAAGCCTATGTCACTCGGGAATAGTGTAGCTTGCCAACGGTGAAAGAATTTTTGAAATCGGTCTAGTAGTTTCGGAGCCTATTCATTTCAAACAAACAAAAAATGAAACCTTTCCTCTTTATAATATTAGTATAGATAATCTCTTAAGAAAATATTAAAAAAAATAGTATTATAACAGTGCCTTGTCAATTCATTTAAAAATCATGTAAACTAAGTGACAGACATAATATTAATACTAGAAATAAAGATTAAATTACTTAACCATCTTTCAAATTAACCAAAGTACAAACATCTATTTATAACATGACAATAAATGATGCATAATACAATATATTAGTTACAGGTTCAAATGCTACTTTAAAATATCACTTATATAATAATAAAATAATATACGTAGTTGGTCCCAAAGTTCTGTCACTAGCACATTATTTCTACATTTCGAGCAGGATTTTATAAAAAAATTATTGCATTCTATTTTGGAATGTTTGATTATTGTTTTAAAACAAAAAACAATAACTTTCCGTAATTTTTCACGATGGAGTGGACATTGAAAGTAAACCGAATAGTTGTTATTGCGTTGCACCGCTGTGGACACTCGCCGAGTAACATTTTCAAGTTGCTCAAAAATTTGAATATAACGCTTAGGTTTGTGTACGGTACTATTGATAGGTACCTTGAAGTCTCCAGTGTTGAGGACAAGAAAAGAACTGGCTGGCCACGCTCCGCAAGAACACCAGCAGTAATCAAAGCTATCAAGGCGCGGATAGTAAGAAATCCTGTCCGAAAACAGAAGTTGATGGATTTGCAGATGGGTGTCAGTAGGAAAACAGTAAAAAAAGGTTTTAAATGAAGATCTTGGTCTACGAGCATACAAAAAAAAGAGTGGGCACTTACTTAATGCTCGTCTAAAAGCAATAAGGCTTAAGAGATCGCGGGTGTTGTTTAAGCGGTACGCGAAAAACCGACACCGTGATATCCTCTTTACGGACGAAAAATTTTTCGATATTGAAGAGAAGTACAATAAACAGAATTATACAGTGTACGCTTGGAGTTCTGAAGAAGCTGAAAATAAAGTTCCAAGGGTGCAACATGGACATCATCCATCATCAGTAATGGTTTGGTTGGGAGTGTCCTATTACGGGCTAACTGAGGTTAATTTTTTCGAAAAGGGGGTCAAAACCAGTGCTACAGTGTACCAAGAGACGGTTTTGTATCGCCTTGTCAAAGACATGTCCAGCACCCTATTTGCGGGACATCACTTCGTGTTCCAGCAGGACTCTGCGTCTGCATACAAAGCCAAGACCACTAAAGCCTGGTTTGAGCGTCAAAACATCGTCTTAATTAGACATGAGGATTGGCCTTCCTCCAGTCCGGACCTTAATCCTTTGGACCAGAAATTATGACAGGGCTTAGAGAGGAAGGTCTGTGATAAACCTCATGAAAATTTGGAGAATCTGAAGTCATCTTTAAAAAAAACCAGTGACTGAAATCGACACGAATATGGTGCGTGCTGCGATAGACGACTGGCCGCGACGCTTAAGGGCCTGTATTAAAAATGAGGGAGGTTATTTCGAATATTTTTATGCTTTTTTTTATTCCTTAATTAATGTACTAAGAATTGATATATCACTCATTACAAACTGATCAGTACTTTTGTTTTTATCATTATTTCCATTTATGACAGAACTTTGGGACCGACTACGTACATTGAAATAAATAACTAAACTTAACATAAACTAAAATATATCATTAAAAGGAGTCCCTTTAGGCAAGGTTCCGAAGATACTGGCAGCGTTCCCCCTTTGAATTGCTAGACTAATTCTTTGTCCGAGGTAGCTGCCAGATCTTCGGTCTCCTGTGATGTCGACTAACCTTTTTGAAATTTCTTTAAAAAGCCTTAACATCTATTATGGGGTACTGTGTTAAATGACACAATAAAATACCTACACAAGCAAAAAAAAGGGTGCGTGTACTTATGTACGCGCGTAAGAAGTTATACTTCTTTGGCATTATTAAAAATAGTTTTTGATTGCATGCAAATAATTAATTTCAATTAAATAATCAAAGACTGGAAAAGGAGTCATTATAGTCAATTAAGTTCAGTTTACATTTGAAAAATTAAATAAATAATTATTTATTATTATTCTCTTACATTAAGTGTAACATAATTTCTATTTAGTTAAAAGTATATATAATTATATATTTAGAACATCTCTACCAAACACAAAGAAGTATGTTGTAGCTTTGGCAGTATTGCACAATATAAAATTAATAAATTTCTTTGAAAAATTAATCAAAACTCCTTTATTTGTTTAAAAGGTAAATGACAAATGTCATTATGGTCATTCAAAATTCTTGGCATACGAACTTCACTCATATTCTATTTCTTTATACTTGTAGATTGTCTTATTCCTATCTCGCTCGCGCACGCTATAATCACACTCCCAATTTTGTGTCACAGGTGCGCGCGCATCGTAAAATTTCACTCTCATAAATTTTTCATAACGCGCCTAAAGAAGTATAACTTCAAAAATACTTACAAAAATGCTGGTCCTGGTCCAATCCCTGGACAATCAAACTAGACAAAATCAACTGGTTGCTAATCTAGTTATATAGGTTTATATTTGTTTTTTTTTTAAATATATCAACTTTGACGTAGCTCACACATTGTTTGACTGTATGTTATTTCTTTTTTTTCAATGAATTATGTAAAATGAATACTTGCAATAAATGTAAATATGTGATCACTACTGTATCTACATAATAACTTAGTATGCGGCTGCATTGTTTTTTATAACACCATGCACCTATTTTATTTTACGTAGTAAGTACTTTTCTTTTGTTTTAGGTACATGAACTTCATATATAATTCTATCAAATCAATGTATACAAAATATTGTAAAATCTATTTTGCAATCTGAAGTGATATCAGTATTTGCAACTCAGGAGATACTGGCAGTGCCTACTTATTAATTTAATAGAAATCTGTTTCCATTAACTTAAAAATAATGTTTTGTACCACGTCCAGATAAAATCTGCAAGATTACATGGGTCTTGCGAGTTCCCTAAGAATTTAGAAACCTTTTCGGTATGTTTATGTCCATTGGTCCAACCTGCTGATTTTCGTCATCAATAAGATTTGTGTAATAATATCTCGATTTCATTAAAAATATCCATCTTACAATAATTAACTTGTTTAGAAGATGTAAGAAAATAATTTCTAACTAGCTTGGTAACGTAATATATACTAAAAATAAACGAACATTTAAATTTTACAAAAATAAGAAAGATTGACCAAAGATCTCGACTTAAAGGCGTTTTTGGAAGTTTAAGGCAGAACTAAAATTTGGCGATCATCGATCACGATCAATCGGTAAAATATCGAAATAAATTTCTTTGTAGAATACAATCTGAAATTTCTGAAGTCAAATCTCGTAATTCTTATTAAGCCGATACATCGAATAGATCCGATGCTTCGAAGAGGTATTGATATAAGTACTCGATGCATCGATGTTTTATAAAAAATGGATGATATTATAACCAGTTAATTTCACAAAGACTCAAGTTTGAATTGAACACTATAATTTAAAAGTAAAAAATAGATACAATAAAAAAAGAAAAAAAAATACTGCAATGTGCTACTGAAAAGGCATATACTCAGGATCTATCAAATTTCACCTAAAATCTGTCAAAACGAGATCGTTTTCAATGTTAATTATTCTAAAACTTTAATTTGTGTTGTTTATTTTAAATTAATAAAACCGTGATTTATAAAATATTTAAGGTGTTTATTTTGAAATTATTAAAAAAATTAGGAAAACATCGATAAATATGAATATTTATTGATTAATTAATAATCGATTTTTATGCAGAATCTCACATCCCTACAAGGAATGTTACTTTTTTTTTTAATTTATTTTTTTATGGCTCTGGCACGATTTGTGCATATAGCCAGCGTCAAGTATAGGATTTTTTATAATTCGTGCTTGTCCTTAGAAATTCGACCGTGTCCTCCATGTACGGTTTAAGCACTCGCCCGGTACCGCACAACCCTCCCAAAGGCCAAGAACAAATTTAAATTAAATTAAAATTTGCCCTCGAACCGGGAATCGAACCCGGTACCCCTCACCTAGCTGCCACTTAACAAGACCGCTAGGCTATGAGGCCCCCGAACGTTACTTAAATATTTAACCAGAATATGACAGCTGTCAAATATGTTAAACTTCAACCAGATAAAATGTTTGACAGCTCTTGAAACTAGGTTTAAGTTTGATTGACGTTCTAGAATACGGGTCTGAGACTTCTGAGCTTCTAAACTAAATACAAAATAGTGGCAATCATAAGAAAATTATTTATCGTTAGTATGTGATTAATGTAATTTCTATTATTTATAGCATAAACGTTTGTAAAGTTCTGTCTATAAATATCGTGTGTCAGATTATATCCTAACTTTTTAATTTATAAAACAGATTCGTGTCTATGACGGTGTTCTGTGCACTTGACTATGGTCAAAATCAATTATCAAAATTAAAAAATAAAAAGGCCGTGGCTTGAGAATATATCGTTGTATTTTGTATTCTCATAAAAAGTGATCCTATTTAGTGCGGGTATTAAATGATTCTCCTATAAGGCTTATAAAATTTTCGGAAAATTAAATACATTAATTTAACAATTATTTGAACATTAAGTGCTCAAGTCTTCTTCGAATCCATTACAATAGGGAAGATGTCGTGAGCTCTTTTCATTCAATCTGAGTTTCAAGAAAAGAATCAAAATGTGGTTCCCATTGCCACAAGAGACATTGTCTCTAAACGATATGACACCGAACAGTCTTTTTGATCAGTGTTTATCAGTTATAACAGACAATCTGGATTCAATATCGATTCCTAATCCAACAACTCGTAGCCGTGTCCTCCGTCGTAACGTCGTACTGCCAGCACAAATATGCGACAAATTTCTAGAAGCTTATCAAAAAAAATATCGATTGAACGACAGTATTGCTCATATATTCCGCGATCGTGAAAGCACAAGATTAACGATTGTAAAATTAGAACATGCTACTATTACAGATAAAGGACTTAGATATCTTCTTGCACACCGACCACTACAGGTCGAGCTCGTCCATTGTGATTGCATTTCAGAAGCGGCGGTTGGTATAATCGCAGCATATAACCAGAATCTGGTCCGACTTAAATTTGGGCCTTTAAACTTTACATCAAATTCTAGGGGGGTTGTTGACAATCATATCAGAATGAACATTATCAAAAGAGATTTGATGCAACTCACATTAAAAATTGACAATTCCATGACCATACCAGTTCTACGATTAAAACCATTAAATAACATAACTTTTTTGAATCTGTCCAAATTACCGGAGGTGTTTAGTTCACTACAAATGCGTATAGAAACTGTAAAGTTCCTGATATTACATAATGTTCCGCTAACTCCTAACAATATGAAATGGATATTACAAGTATCAGACAATATTAAATTACTTGACATATCTCAAGAAAATGAGACACAGGGCACAGTAGAAAATGCAACTTCGGTACTCCATGAACTGGCTACAAGACTGCCCAAGTTGCAATACCTAGACATTTCAGGCACTAATCTAGCTGGTACAGGACAGGGGCAGTCAATGATAGCAACTGTAGATGGAGGGAAAGTGGAAGTTAAAACTGACATACCCGGGCTTATTAGCCGAGCAACTAACCCACTAGAATTCCTAGGTTTATATGGAACCCATCATGGGGCTTGCCAGAGACATGATATTCCTGCCAGTCTGGTAAGTTTTAAACCCTTTTTAATCCTTAAGCAAGAGCTTTTTATGACAATGGAATAATTTTGAAGTAAACTGACAAAATGTCCCAAGAATAAAAATGCACAGCACTACATTTGTACGCACACATATTCTATTTTGTTTGTGCAAATAATTCAATTCCCTTATCTGTTTTATTATCAACTACACAATACCATCAGATAATTACTTATTTTATTTGTGTGCAACACTTAATTATTTTGATATAAGCAAACATGTAATACAAGACAGTAGGTCTTGATTGATGATGGCAAATAAATTCAAAAACTAGATATAAATAAAGAGAAATTAGAATTCAAAAATAATTTTGACTCTTTGCTTTGTTTATTTATATTCTGTTAAAATTAAATCTTAATACATAAAAATGAATCACTGAAATGTATTGTACATGCATAAGCTCGAATGAATGCACCAAAAAGGATTTTTGGGTAGAAGTTTACTGTCAGGATAGAATTTGTATTATAAAAAGTGATAGACTATGAGAGATGTATTGCCAAATATCATTACAAAGTTAAATTTTGAAATTACTTAACTTAATCGTGTAACTTAATTGAGTATATGCTCAAACAGACAACTTGATTTTACACTTTATTCAAACCATTGGTATTAGATAATTCGGCTTTATTGTTCACAGATATCTGGAGATGCCAATGAGAAGCAAATTTTGACAGCAGCTTGGGCCGCAATTGATTACCCAGTCATCCTCTCAAAAGTTCTCAGTGATTTATACTACTTTTTCCGTTTTGAGAATATAACAAATGTTGGAGCAGCACTGAGCGTTGTACTTTTGTGTCTAAAAAAATTCCCTTTGGAGACTCAGATCCAAATATCGGGAAGGTATGATGGCACTTGCCTGAATGTATTGCATGAACTCACAAAACCTGTAATTTGGTGTTCATAACACCAAGAGGCACTACACTTATCACATATCATGTTAATTATCTAGTATTAACCTTTTCAGTGCAATAATTTACTATATTGTGAAAGGCAACCAAAAGGGGAATATTGGACTAAACTTGAAGAGGCGGATTATAACATTGTTGCTGGATAGTATGGAAACACACATTACAGATCACACCTTAATGAGAAATGGATGTCTCGCTCTCTGCCAATTTAGGATTCCTGAAGATGTTGTAAGTTAATTTTTCTAACTGCTTTAATTATTTTTTTTTTTTAAATTAAAGCACACCACATAAGAGAGTTCTTTATATGTGTTATAATTTTTTTTTTAACTTAATAATTACTTATTTAAAGATACTTTTTTTGCTTATGTAGTCTAGGTCTAGGTACCAGTTAGGTGCTACACTACCAGGGTTGTTTTTTATTTGATTAACCCACTAACAAGTTATTTAATTATGACAAAATACTGTTTGGTAGTCGCAAGACACAACAGATGTGGATACTTTAATGTCTCAGCTGTTTATTGTGCACCAAAACATCGAAGAGACTTAGACTTAGGCAATCGCTTCATAACACGAGGCGACTAGAACTCCAAACTGGTTAATTGGGACTAATTACAACTAGGGGAAGACAATTGAAGTCGAGCATCGATACAAATCACCTAAACACAATTGCTCCATCAGAACCTACCAACTGGACAGCTGATCACAGTCAAATCCCGGACATACTCGATTTCTTCCTAACAAAAGGACTCACCAAACAATAAATGAAGACGAGTCTTGTCTTGCTAACTATCGGCTCCACTATAATTGAAGTCGAGGGACCCATAAGATTATATAACCAGACTACAGATTGGCCCTCCAGTACAACAATCTAAATCATTAATCATCACTTAAAGAAGCAGAGGAAATTGAAATGGCAGTAGTGCAGTTTACTAATCTCATACAAGGTGCAGCGTGGAGAACCAAGCCAACCACTGAACACTGAAACCAGCCCACAAACATACAATTGGAAGTAAAGATCCAGGAAAAACGCTGATTGCGCAGAGTTTGGCAACTGAGCCATCATCCACAAGACAGGCCGCCCTTAATAAAGCCATTGTAGAATTGAAGGAAGCTATAAAGAATGCTAATGATTTAACAATGCAAGCTAAGTTGGAGTCTCTAACCACTACTAAGGCCAGCAAATGGTGTGGAAAATCACGGCTGGGCCAGAACAGGCCTGGACAAAGCGGACTTGTTTGCGACCTATGTAACAAGTTCCTTTAAGCCTAATGTAACACTAGAAAACTCATCAGAAAAATATGTTGACCAAGTTCTAAATCAAGACCTTTTAAATGGATCTTCCCCCTAGACCTGTGTCGCCCGCCTATACTGGGTGCTAGGAAGAAACTCGAGACTTTCTCTAGACACAAACTTCTTATATATAAAGTCATCCCAACGTCCAGTTAGACATCTGGCCTCCCAACTTTGGGGCAGCAAGTGATAACAATATGAATATACTTCAGCGACAACAGAAAAAGATCCTAAGAGCAATTGCAAAAGTACCATGGTATACAACCAACGACGACGAGTTAACGAACACCCGAACGAACTGGCTCGCCAATTCACCATAGAACAGTATGTGAGAAGACGAAAACGTCACCATATTCTAGAGCTGGAACCTACAGTAGCTCTACGCAGCAGATGAGTAGATGTGGAAAGGCTTCCCATTACTTCTAATTTCTACTAAATTACTTCTAATGGGAAGCCTTTTCACAGGACAACATCACAGAATAGATTCGCTCATAGCCTTAGGGCTGATTGCAAATACCAGCAGGAGAAAAAAAGGCCAAATAAAAATCACAACCATTTTACAAGGCAATGCCATTTCACATTGCCAAATTAAATCGTATATTGTTAAAAAATTCCTACATTAGGAGACCCTTGTATTTTCATATCTCATAGTCTCAGCCTAAATGAAGTTTTATGCTCAATTTGATCCAGTGGATATGTGATGGTTAAACGAAAAAAATTGCATTGAATTTACATCAGAAATTAGTCACTGTCATCAAAAATTAAGTTTGTAATGATTATTAGTAAATAATTATAAAATACATAAACAGTTTTAGCCTGTTAACGGTTAGAAATGAGTTGTTTATTTTGTCCTTATAAATTAAACGCAAAAGCAATATTTTGTATGTGTTTTTTTATAATAGTAAAATTACACATTAAAGTAGTTAATGTGTAATTTAGGGTGTAGGTTAAGAGTTTGTAGTATGGCAAAAATATATTGGATTTTGACAACAAATGCACAGCACCAAAAATAATATGCCTAGATAATCCGTAATCCTAGGATAAATTTTAGAAGTAAGCTTTGGCCAGTGCAAGAATTTGTATACGTTGATACGTTTTCAGCTATTTGAGTACGACCGTATAGTGCAAATTCTGCTGGACGTCTCCGAAGATAGCCATTACACATTCGTCCAACGAATTGCGATTTATCTCCTCAACTCACTTGCGTGCCAGGTTGACGGGCAGCAGAAACTCTTCTTAGGCGACAGGGGAGCCATTACTGTGAGTATATTCATTATATAAATTGGTATTATTTTGAAACTTTTTTATATTGTAGCGATGTACTGGTTGATTTAGAATTTGTGTGATAAAACATTTTTTATGCTTGATGCCCTTACGGCTATATTCTTAATAGTATTTCAAGCAGTGTTGACCATTGTATTAAAATAATAAATTTTAATAAAAAATTTAATTGCAAAGCTACATGATAATAGTTTAGTGCAGATATTGTGACACACAAATAAAATTAATATTTAATACTGAGCATATGATTGGAAATTATGTTTACTTTACATAAACTACTGTGACAGAGGCGAAGTTACAAACTTTTTCATATACTGTAATTCCATGCTGAGTTATGACTCTATAAAGCGCTACTACTGTATTGATTTGGACAATGAGTTTATATAAGTTAATTTCAGGAAATGAGTAGTCGGAATAGGTTAATAATAAACAATTGACTGTTATAAACGCTTTTTGATTGGTTGCGACTTTGATTGGCTTCGCGTTTGTTTCGCAATTCTTTCTGAAATAAACAATGGTCTTTCTCTGATTTTACAAGAGTTCACTTTTATTTATTTGTGCCTTAGAAATGTTACGAAACAATTGGTTCTAAGAAACCACGACCTCAGAGTTGAGGATTAACAATTAGATCATTAACAAAATTTTAATTTTATGACACATGTCGGGTAGTATAGATAAAACTATTATATGTATATATGTTATGTTGGTTTGTGTAAGCTTCAAAAACTCAACTGAACTGAAATTTTAGCATGATATAATCCGCATCAAGGATTGTTTTTATCTATATTTTTTATCATTTTTGGTTTTTTTTTTCCCACAAGTATTGCAAAATTAAATTTATATGAAATGTTTTCTTTGTTTTGTTTCTCATTTCTCAACCATTCAATCACAATGTGCTACAGCTAGTATTATATAAATTAATGTAAAACTAGGGAATACTTGTTTTTTTTTTTAATTTTATTAACTGTTTATGTTATTGTGTTAACTGTTTGAAAAATCATTTAGTTCTCTTCAATGTCTGTTCTGATACTTGCAAAATCCGTTTTTTTTTAAATTGATTTAATAAGTTATATACAAATAATTTAATAGTAAACACATAAATCATCAACTATTTGAATTGTATTTGTTAAATGTTTTCACAATTTTTTAATGTTTTTGCACTTAATTATGTGGCAATGCGATATTGTAATAGTATTGATATTATGCGAATTCCAGTATTCTAATTGTTTAATAATTCTTTGCGATGTTATTTACCAAATAAAAAATGAAGCCCTATATTCATTAGTAGTCACCCACAACGGGTTCCTATTGTGGGGATTAGCGTTTGATCAATTTTGTCACAAGAATATTTTGTAATGAGTTTTATTATTATTATTTCTAAAACAAAATTAGTCTTATTATTTAAACTAAACTGAGGCCAACGATAAATGTACACAGATCAACTTTTTTATTACAATTCATTAATAAGAGTTATTGTTACGGGATTAGAATTCTTAAATTTTTCAATGTCCCAATTTGACTTTCTACCGAAAGGTGTAGTGTTGAGCTTGGCGCCAAAGTAAATATAGTAATTAAGTTTCCTTTGACTACAATATCAATTGCAATTGCAAATTCTCATAAACACGATGTTGGTGTAAAACTCAATTTAATTTAATTTTCTTATAATTACAGCGAATGCTGCATGTGATTGCCTTGCGCGTAGACCGTAGACAGTGCGACGATGTAATGGAGGTTGCCTGGTCCACAATGTGGAATGTGACCGACGAGACACCAATCAACTGTCAACGTTTCCTTGACAATCACGGAATGACATATTTCCTAGCTTGTCTTAGGGTATGTTGTTTGTCATATTAATATGTTTATTTGTAAATTAATTAAGTTACATGTAACGTTTTGCTATAAAATCTACCAAGTATCCATGAATTCAATTCATTACATTTAATCTAGCGATAAAGAAGTTGTCCTGAGACTATATAGAGTCTTAAGTTAATGAAACGGCTTAATGAATTTATTGAGCTGCAATAGCCGTCTTTGACCAAACGCTGAAATATCATCGAAATTTATCACGTAAATTACATGGTGATGTGTGTAACCATTCGTTAAGATGTCGCCTTGTAATATCGCGGTACAAGAACTCGGAATTGAAATCGTAATAGAAATCGTCATAGCTATTGCAGTTTGTATGAACATTTGAACCATGACCTAGTGACGGAACCTAAATTGGATTGTTTAGCCGTCAAACTATGACAAACAAGCGATCTCGAAAAAGTTTCTTATTGTTGAACGATTTGTGGATCGAAGTGGCCAAATATTTGTGCAATAAATATATTTATTAAATTATGATTACAATTAAAACTTGTTTATCAAGTAAGATTAACAAAATATACTATGTCTAATATATTAAGAACAGCATAATTTTTAGATATTGTTTGTTTTAGTAATTGTTTAATATTGTATTAATTTTGAGTTGTAATTTTGTGTGATTATGAAGAATTTAATAAACGCCGACGGAGATAAGAAGCAAAACCACAAGCCCCTCCTACTAACTTCGAAGATTATATTTTATGGATCAACTACTTTGATTCTTTGAAGATTACAGCGACCTACAAACAATGTTTAATAGTATTCAATTAATTAATTAAGTATGTAGAAAGTGTAACAATAAAACTCTATTTCTTAAAATACGATATTTTATTTTAAACCAGCTTCCGCCTTCGTTGATTTTGGGTATTTTACCAAAATCTCTTGCCACCTCTTCACCGATGATTTCGTGGATTGCCACGAAATCATCGGTACCAAAATGAATTACACACCTTAACCTTCTTTAGGAGTCGACAAACATCAGTGTGATAGTTTCTGAAATGGTCGCGTTCATACAGACAGACATACGCCGACTGATTATTTACTTATATATAAATAAGAACTATGGTATATCACTTGTATTTTTTTAAATAAATTTTCCTTATTATCTTCATGAATTGTATGAGACTTTAAAACATAGGTATTTTTATTCGATATAGAATATCAAAATATTCTAAAAACAGTATTTCTTAAGGCAAAGTTCAATAAGGTATAATCATGTAATTCATTGGGACTCTGCCAAGATGTATCTCAGCGAATATCAAGTCAAGTTTGAGCTGAAAGTATATTATTTTTATATTTTAAATGAAGATTATCATAGAATCATCTGTTGAAGCAAGTTTGCCAGTAAAATTTTAGAACGTATGTACAGACCACAAACAAAATTATCGTTTATTATTTCGGTCTAGTGACTCCGATACGTTTCAGGTTATTTCACGGTCATGGTACGAAAAAATGCGATTCACTTTAGGAACCTAAACTCACTGGGATCTCAACTGGATCGTTTTAAAAAATCTCATGGTATGTGGCCCTCTGGGCACTTTTGATGCAATTCTGATGGTATCTATGTTTTTATTACAGTGGTTCCGTGGTAATTTCGAACTAGTCCGGAACATGATGGGTCTCCTCGGTAATGTTGCTGAAGTGGCATCCCTACGTCCCAAACTGATGCGCCCTGTCATAATAATGGCTTTTTATAACCTCCTGAACTCTGTTGCTGATGGAATTGAGGTACGTTTTACAAATAAGGATATCCAGATATTTTAAAAAGGTAACGTATTGATAACGTCCTTCGATTTTTAAATCGTTAAGATATAGCGTACTCTAGCTTGCCAACCAGTGGACTATGAAATGTGTATTTCAATTTATCTGCAATAAGTGAGTGTTCGTGTAGTAAATATAGTGTGTAACAAAACTAAATATATGATAGCGTGAGAACTGAAAACCTAACAACCCTTCAGATCCCTAAGCCCTAGAGTAGTACCCTAAGTAGTGAAATTATAAAAATTACGGGTCTGCACCAAGAGATCTATTGTAACAGACGGAGCCCTACGGATAGGATTAGAGGTTCAAGTGCTATTTTCTCAAAGCTATCGGGTAGCCTCATCACGATGATTAAAGGCCTGAATGCGAATGCGAATTACTTTATTGGGCAGCATGACAAGACGACTGCCTCGAGGAATAATGATGAATCTTTGCTGTAGGTATTAATGCAAACAACTCTGATCATTCTCCATAATAAATGCCGTAGAAGATGCAGAGAGACCACACATCTCTATTTCGCAATGCCAAGGGCTCTAGCCGCTCAGAAAGTGACTGGTCGTCGTTTCGAATCGCTCTTCGTTATTCGATATGTCAACGCCCATTTCCCCGATGCTGGCTGAAGCTTTAACGTCTTCGAAGAGAGGCTAGGCTAGGATAATGACGGTCTTACAGCACTTCGGGACAGTTTCGAGCGTGCACGTTAAGACCGGAGTCAACTCAGGAGCACAAGTACGCAGCACAATTGGGGGAACGCCGTCAGAGAAGGCCAAGGAAAGGAGAAGGAAAGAAAAAACCTGGCGATTAAAAAGAGTGGCGGAGAGTTTATTGCCAGTTCTTCTCTTCCGTTCTATGCCCTTGATTTGAGAACTGGCAGTAAATGTAAAATTAGAAGCATTCAATGTATATTTCTTTTTTGTCGTTCATAAGTGTACATTGTGTTACCTACATAAATAAATAATTTTTGACTTTTTGACTTTAGACTTATTATGATAACCTATAATTCAATTTAAATTAAGCATACATAATAATTAGTGTGATAAAACATTTTTAATGTGTCAATAATAAAGAACCGGGAACTCCCTTCTAAGATTGAATTTCAAAGCTACACGATAATAGTTTAGTGCAGATATTGTGCATATAAAAATTAACATTTAATACTGAGCATATGATTGGAAATTATGTTTACTTTACATAAACCACTGTGACAGAGGCGAAGTTACAAACTTTTTCATATACTGTAATTCCATGCTGAGTTATGACTCTATAAAGCGCTACTACTGTATTGATTTGGACAATGAGTTTATATAAGTTAATTTCAGGAAATGAGTAGTCGGAATAGGTTAAGAACAAACACTTAACTGTTATAAGCGCTTTTTTATTGTTTGCGAATGGGAATGCCGTCACAGAATGCCTGGACTTATGAAAGTCCAAGGAAGATTAAAATTTGTGGATAGCACGTTGATGTCAAACTATGCTTGCTCGACAGTACATATGACTGTACACGGCTGCGTAATACAAAAACAATATATTCAAAAAGGCTTACAGAAACCTGATTTTGCCGGAGTAGACCGGAGTAGACCGGATATTACTGCAATCATAACTTTCTACAAGACGGACTTACCGCGTGCTGTACGATGTAACTTAGTAAGGAGTAGCTATCACGAAAGATATACGTAATTAATAAGGATTCTATGGAGGTAGACCTATTTGATTGTAATCTGGCTGAGAGTTGCTTATTTTATTATTAGTTATAACATGTAGGTATATATTTTTGAAGTGATAACTTTTTATGGGAGGGTAAACGCTTACGTAAGTAACGCGTTACGGTGCCAGTCTGTCTTGCTTCCCTTTCTCTCACGCATACCGCAGCGGTAGACAGACTCCTCTCTCACTGTAACCCGCAGCGCTAGCCGTATTTCGGACAGACGCTGTCCCCTCTCTGTACTCCGTATTATAAAATATATTTTATACTCAATAAAAGATTTTATTAATAAATAACCTTTCCTTATATTATCATATTATATACATAAAATTTAAGTAATAACCCAAGCTTTTCTCAAGTTAAACAAATTCAATATTAAATAGTTTAACCTCGATTACTTTAGCTATCACTTCTGTCGGGGGTCCCGAGACGCACACATTTATTTTAATTGATTGTATTTATAATCGTAGAAAAATCCAGGTATAGGTATTACATAGGCTGCACTAAAAGTATCGGGAATGGAATAATACCACTGTTCCTGTCATATTTGAATCTTTTTAATTGAAAACTCCTTTTTTTTAAAATCGAATACATTTTTTTTTAAAAGATTCTCGGTCTTTTCACAAAGTTTTGTCAAACTTGTTTAGTCGTTGAGAAAATGGAATTGACTCGAGAAAATTCAAGAGCGATGATTTATTATGACTTTCGAAGTGGTTTATCACAAAAACAGTGTGTTGACCAGATGATTTCTGCATTTGGTGATGAAGCCCTATCCAAAACCACAATTTATCGCTGGTTTGCTGAATTTCAACGTGGACGTGTCAAGCTCAGTGTTGATCCCCGTCAAGGTCGTCCAAAAACTGCAGTCACCCAAGAAAACGTTGATGCTGTGCGTAAGCTGATTGAGGAAGATCGACATGTGACATACCGCGAAATTCAGACAAGACATCAGACAGGCATGAGTCAAATACAAATAATCTTGCATGAACAATTAGGTGTAAAAAGTTGTTTTCCCGATGTATACCGCATTCGCTCTGTGAAGAGCAAAAAGCGGCTCGCGTTACTTGGTGCGTCCTGGATATAAGCGTACGAACCCGAAACAAACCAGTCACGAGTTTGGGTGTTCGAAAATGAGTTAAAGCCAACGAAAATTGTTCGTTCGTGGAGTGTTGCAAAAAAAATGGTGGCCACGTTTGTCTCCAAAACCGGCCATGTTGCGACTATTCCTCTTGAGGGACAAAGAACGGTTAATGCAGAATGGTATGCTAGCATTTGTTTGCCACAGGTCGTTTCTGAAATCCGTAAAGAGAACTGCAACCGCCGCATCATCCTCCATCACGACAATGCGAGTTCTCACACCGCGCACAGAACAAAAGAGTTTTTAGAGCAAGAAAACATAGAATTATTAGACCATCCGCCGTACACCCCCGACCTAAGCCCTAAGGATTTCTATACTTTCCCTAAAATAAATTTATGCAAACCTCAATTACAACTGATCTTAGCTCAGATCATTGTGGACAGTTAGTGGCGCTAAAATGTAAAGTGGTGAAACAAGTAAATAAGAGCAGTGTGTTTGTTCCAGTGAATAAAAAGCGAATGGTGAGATTTAGACATAATATAGGTAAACGCCTACCTTTATTACCGGTAGGTACTACCGTTGATACACAATACAACAATCTAAGTGATTGTATTAATAAAGAGTTCAACACCATCTTTACCCCAAAGAAAGTCTCTCATTCGCAGTGTAAATCGTTTAGTGATTGGGCGACAGCGGGAATTTATAAAAGTAGACAACGGTTGTATGACCTTTACGCTGAAAAGTCATACAATCATAATGAAGAATTTATTCTTTATGTTCGAAATTATTCGAAATTATTTAAGAAAGTTTGTTACGCGGCCAAGTCCTTAAATATCAAAAACAAGATTAAAAATAGTACCAATAAAACTAAAATGACTTGGAAGATAATTGATAGTGAAACTGGAAGAGTCAGGGATCGCAATCAAGACATCGAACTATGTGTCGATAACACTATAATCAAATCTAACGAAGAGATAGCGATTGTTTTTGATAAGTACTTTTCTGACATTCCAATTTCGACTACTAAGTCTCTTCAATCATCTCCCGCCCTCGCCGAATCGCTGCTCAAAGATAATGTAAACGAGTGCAAGGTCAGTTTTTCATTCCGACCCATTGGTGCCGACGATATAGTGAGGATATTTAGAACCATAGATATTAAGAACACTACCGATCTTTGGGGTATTTCTGTAAAAATAATTAGTAGCATAATTGATGTAATTGCTCCCCATCTAGCTATAATTTTCAACAATTGTATTAAAAGTGGCGAGTTTCCCGATCTAATGAAACATAGTAAAGTTATTCCTTTATTTAAAGCAGGTAGTATGTCCGACCCCAGTAACTTTAGACCAATTTCCGTACTACCTACTTGTAGTAAAATATTTGAAAAAATTATATTAAATCAACTGGTAAGTCATTTTAACGTAAACAAATTATTACATAATAATCAGTTCGGTTTTACCAAGGGTCGCTCGACAGCCGATGCCGGTGTTGAGTTATATAGATATATAGTTAAGGCTTGGGAGGAGTCGCATGACGCTTTAGGTGTTTTCTGCGACTTATCCAAAGCATTTGATTGTGTCCAACACGAGACCTTAATCGGGAAACTCCGCCACTATGGCATCAAGAATACCGCACTGAATCTTCTGACTTCCTATTTACACGGAAGAACTCAGAAGGTTGAAGTGAATGGTAAGAGGTCCTCTGGGTCGGCAGTAGATATGGGGGTACCACAGGGCTCAATTCTTGGCCCTTTCCTCTTTCTTGTTTATATAAATGATCTACCTTTCATGGTAGAGAGAAAACATCAGATAGTTTTGTTTGCTGATGACACGTCCTTGATTTTTAAAATCAAACGACAAATAACAAATTTTGACGATGTGAACAATGCTCTGTCTTCGATTGTCCATTGGTTTAGTATGAATAACCTTCTACTTAATGCAAAAAAAGACAAAATGCATTAAATTTTGTGCAAAAAATGCAAGGGTTATGGATACTAGACCAATTATAAACGGTGAGGAATTGAATCTGGATGATACAACTGTATTTCTCGGAATCACCATGGATTCAAAACTTCAGTGGTCCCCTCATATTAACGGATTGGCGAAGAGACTTAGTTCTGCAGCCTACGCGGTTAAAAAAATTCGCTCACTAACTGATGTCGATACAGCTAGACTTGTTTATTTTAGTTACTTTCATAGCTTAATGACTTATGGCTTATTATTATGGGGTCATGCTGCTGATGTCGAAACTATTTTCATCCTGCAGAAGAGGGCTATTCGTGCAATCTATAATTTAAAATGTAGGGAATCTCTTAGAGATAAATTCAAGGAAATTAATATACTTACCTTTCCCTCGCAATATATTTATGAAAATATTATGTATGTATACAAAAATAGTGATAAGTTTACTAGAATAGAACATACGCACAATGTTAATACACGGAACAAACGCAGGCTGCAATTTCCCCCGTACTAGACTATCTAAAGTTAGTAATTCTTTTTTGGGGAAAGGGATACTCTTCTTTAATAAAATCCCAGAGGCTCTTTTATCACTGCCTTTCAATAAATTTAAGAAATGTATTAAAGAAAAGCTGTGTAAAAAGGCTTACTATAAAGTCAACGATTATCTAGTTGATAAAAGGGCCTGGGACTAGTGCTAGACAGGCTACTTCTAATCAATTTGCGATATTTGTTTTAAATAAGTGTTGTTTGATGATTTGCTGTTTTAAAAGAGTACCGAGAGTTTTTTTACGCCGGCTTTTTCTCTCGGCCTACACCCTCTGTCTTCTTTGCCGATGAGTAGGGATGCCTTCAAATTTAATGACGTGGAATAAGTGATACATGTATCTTATGTTCCATAATAAACATATTTATTTTAAAGAATAAATTGCGTGGTCAGAGATTTTCATCACCTGAAGAAGCTGTGGACGCCTACAAAACGGCCATTTTAGAGACCCCAACTTCCGAATGGAATGGTTGCTTCAATGATTGGTTCCATAGTATGAAAAATGTGTCAAATTTCGCGGAGAATACTTCGAAAAGCAATAAATACATTTAGAAATTTCAGTGCCGCCCTCGTATTGTGTAGTTCTATAGCATTAGTTATAACTGTAAAATATAATAGTTATGTGAAAAGAAATAAATTAGTAAAATAAATAATAATAAAATATTCTTATATATATTAATTTACAGGTTAGTTACAATGCAGCTGGTGTCATCGCCCATATTGCCTCCGATGGCCCCGAAGCCTGGACAATTCGCGAGCCTTCTCGTACAGCAGTACTTAACCGTATGTCTGCAGCCATACACCGTTGGGACCGCAAAGCCGAAAGGAACATCAATTACCGATCCTTTCATCCGATTTTGAATCTTCTGAATGCCCGCCATACCCCGGAATGCCAGCAATGGGCCGTTTGGGCTCTCGCTAATCTTACCACCGTATATCGTAAGTATTTATGTGTAAATTAACTTCGATTCTCCTATATTCATGAACGTAACTGTAATTGATTTTTAAATTAATTCACTTTGGTATGAAAATTACACCTAAAAATAAAAATGTCGTTTTTTACAATACTATATTGCCAGAATTCAAAAAAATATATAATCCCTGCAAATTCCCTTGTCCGCTTCGAAAATAGCATTCACCGTGATGGAAGACATCTTGACTGTGTAATATTCCGTACACAAAATCCGCACTAATGTCTTATAATTTACTGCAATTATAATAGTATAAATACAATTTGTTTTTTTTTTGTTTAAAGTTTAAAATCGGCCCTTGACATCCTTTACAAATAGTTTTTCGATAGTCATGTACAGTTTAAATTTCATGAAGATATCTTCAATAGATACTGAGGAATTTTACGTTCAGGATTTTTAATTCTGTTTTTCGTTTACTATAGGGGGTAGGGGTGTGAGATTTAGTGCATGGCTATTTTACCTTCATCAGATGCGAGTGTCGTTTTCAGTTGCTTATCCGGCTACATCCTGTTTTTTGCTTTTTGTTTTCGAGGACGTTTAACTGTAAAACGCTGTATAGATCCGTGTCGTATGATATCTACTGAATATTTTTAGTTGATTTTTATAAAGTTCTCTTCCTTTACAGCGGAGAAGTATTGCAAATTGCTGGAGCGAGAGGGCGGAATAGAGATGCTGAAGCAACTCCTACACCCAAATTATTCACTGTACAATAGCTTGTTTGGCAGCATCAAGAGACTTGTGACAATCGTTATTTCCAACTGCGAGAACTTCTCCAACGAGGAGGTACCTCCGGACCAAATGGATCACTAACTAGAGGAATTCTTTGAGGACTACTGCCCTCGATTACGGGAATATTAAACTATAGTGACATATAAGCACGTTATTCCCGTAGTGATAGTGACACAAGTGAAGTGTTTGTGACGAAGCAGTAATCATGTGATGTATCCCACATGATATGCAGAAATTTTAATCTTGAATTAGTGTATTAAAATAAATTAAAAAACTGGAATAGCTCAAACTCATGTAGGGCCGTCTAACAGGTATATTTAAAAGTATTAAGTTTAAAGTTAATATATTTATAGATTAAGTTTTAAACGTCTTTTGAGCTTGACATTAAGTATTTTAGATACTGCTACTTACAACTGTTAGCTACTTTTTTTTACCTTAGAACTTGTCATATTGATTCATTGAATTTTTTTGATGTTCATAGTAAATCGATACCTATGTACCATTGGTATCTGGTCGTTTTCATTTATTATATTATGATGCAGTGAATAATTGTATTTCCATATCTCATAGTGAACAATTCTCTTTTACAAATAAAATTATTGACATAGCATATCTGTGTGATTTAAATTAACTGTCAAAACTGTCGTAGTTGGCGCACTTTTACAATTAAGTAGAGGGTCGATGTTGTGCGTTCATTTATTCCGCTTAAATTAAATTATAGGAACTACACATAGTATAACTAGTATAACTTTACTGTTTTAAATTAATCAATAAATAAATTTACAGCGCGCAAATGTTTCGCGCTTTATGTAATGCATTTTAAAACTATGTACTCGTATTGTTAATGTAGTTAACTGGCTGTTAATTTTAAGAATTGTTCATTTGAACTGTAAAACATTTAAATAATCAATATAGCCCATTCTATGTTCGTCGGATAAAAGTTGGTGTTGAAATAAAATAAATGTTCTATCGTACTGTAGTTTGATTAATATTAGAAAAATCCGATTTTTATAACACCCTCCTGGTCCTGGTATAATTTATTGCCCATACGTTTTTGACAAGAGTTGCCTTTGGATTTTGTACTAGCCTCACCTGTTTCACCAAACATTTTTCTTTTATAGGCTCCGGGCGGTTTCAGACAAGCCTTTTTTAAGCGCTTATAGGCTCGTATTTGGAAGCGCATGTAGGCACGTATAGGCACAGCTTTTGGCACACGCGCAACTCGTACGAGCGTGAACGCGCTTCTTAGGGCCGATTTACATTATCTTAGTGTTTAGCAGAGTGCTTTAGGATAGTACTTTAGTTGAAACATGTTTACGCTACTTGCTTTAGTACGGTTCTACTTGACTTTCAAGTTGAATCAAAATAGAATCGCTTTTCAAGTGATACCCCTCCCGCGCCCGCGCAACCCCCGAGATCTTCCCTCGTGTGTAAAGCCGTAATTTAGTAAAATCTTTAGGAGAGTGACCAAGTGCCGTGAAACGCGTGCGTGTTTTTTTATTTTTAAAGATGGCTAAATGGTCGGAAGATACAACTATCAAATTTGTGTCTGAATATGTTGTTCACGAATGTTTGTGGAACGTTAAAAACAATTTATACAAAAATAACAGGCTAGGCACTCGGCACACACTGCCTTAAAAGAAGCTATTTTATTTATATTTAGTTTATTTATTTCGAATAAAATCTCGTCTTCTATTTGTTCCATAACTACAGTTAGTATTTTCCGGCGTCGTTGCGCATTCATTGTGGCGCTGTAATGATACTCTACTGGAAGAAATGTAAACGTTCACTCGCAACGCAGTAAAGCACTAACGAACTTGCCTTTCAAGTTGTACTAAAATACTCTCTTAAACACTATGATAATGTAAATCGGCCCTAAGTTCGTATATATTCGCAGTTCTAAGTAGAGTGTATTAAAGTGATCGGTTCTATGTCTTAATGCGAACATCGATGACACCCAGCATCTGTTTCGTCATCTCAGTGAACGGCGAATAAGTAACGCAAATAGCAATGTATCTTCGTCAGAATCCGTGATACGACGCCACTACCAGTTCGAGCGAACACGCTGAAATGTGCCAGTTTACGTGCACCTGTTTTTTTGAAGCGCGCGTGTATGCGCGTATGCTAAAACGACCGTATACGTGCAGAAAAATACGCTAGTCTGCAACCGCCCTAACTGGTGAACAGCTTTTTGTCCCATTGGAATTTTAGATGTAATGCCATTGCCATTCCATTTTCTGTAGTTTTCTTCAACTCACGTGTATTAGTAGAAAGAAAATCTGTTCTCTAATCTATCGTTTACACCTACCCTTACGGTTCAAAGTCAAGACTAAATAGGTATGAGTCCAGCGTATTTGACATACGAGAAAGTGCCCAGGCGACTTTTAATTTTACCGGTAGACCCATAAATCCATCTAATAGGTATAAACTGACGGTCCCTATGGAAAATGTTCGATGAAACGTAGAAATCTATGGCTTAGTAAGTATGTTTTGATTTTACCAATTGTTATCTGATAAAAGGTTGATTATGAACTGACCACCGAATATCTGACGACAGAGCCCTAAAGTCTTTACTGAACCTGGTAGACCAAGGCTATGTTGAAGGCATGGAGCTGTCAATGACCTCAAAACAATAGGTGTTCAAAATTGGCAGCCGAGATTGTTTGCGATGGCGAAAAATACTTATCGACCCTGAGACCTATTAACTAATGCATATGTTTGAATATTCACCAGCGGATGGTTGGGGAAGATGATGGGAACTAAGGAAATCCGACTCATCAACATATCTGGTTCATAGTAGGCACAAGATGTAATCCGGAGATAAATGAAACAAGTATATCATACAACAATATTATTTAATTTCATTATTAAACATTTCATTCCATAACATATTGATAAACATTTTATAAATAAAAATGTTTCATTCAATTCCTTGTATTTTATTATTTAAATAAAACTACATTAACAATGGCCATGCAAAATATTTATAAGCATTTTATGCAAATTCTTTCAAGATATGTAAAATTTGTTTTACGGTGATCGTGATTTTATACAACAATAACATGAATAAAATTTCTGCTATAGAACCAAAACTGTATCTGAAACAAGTAATACTGATACAATAAAATAGAAAATGGAAGATTAAGAAGATCCTGTTCGTATAGCACAGCATAGTTAAGAAGTTTGTATAGATGACCACCATAATTATTTAATCATTGAATTAATAAATTGTGTGTACCACTTAATTTTTCTAAGTTATTTGACAATAATCTAAACTAAGCCTAATTTGATATAAGACGACATGATTAAATTGTTCGATAATATTTTGTAATGACATGTGATTATTATGCGTAGACTATGATATGAAAATAACAATAATAATTAACCTTTAAATATCACATAATATTCGTAAAATATCCTCTATAATTATTTATAATATCTTATGTGGTCCAATAATACGCTACCTTTACCACGCTAGTCGCTAACCTAGCACATAAGCTGCCCTTGGAATGTTTTATGATCTTAGATTATAGATTTTGTGCATTTGTATGGAGATGCTGCAATAGCCTATTTGGTCATTTATAAAAGAAATATTATTTACATACACTATATTTCTATATATCTATTAAATTATTGAACACCATTAATTGATCAGAGTTACAAAAAATGTATCAAACTTAAGTCAATACAAGACTCATATTAAATATATGTGCGATACGTATTCGTAGATTTAGGAAAATCTATAGGAAATTTCCGAGACATATCAAGTGGGAAGGCGCTAGCTAACGCGTTTAAAGGCGGCATTGCTATCACTTTCATGTTATTCATTCAATATGCAAGTGCGCATGAGAGCATCGATGACAGAGTAAGGATCACAGTTGGATGCTGGCCGACGGTCCTCCAGGTAGCCTTTCTTTTCTTCGGCCACTGCACGCGGTATTCTGATACTGCAGCCGCGGTTTGCGACTCCTGAAATCAAATTTTAGTACTTTTATTCAGTCTACTGAATGATTTTATTCAGTCTACTGAATGATTTTATTGCTATACTCATTTTTAAGGCAAGTAAGTGGTCAGTCCTCTATGCTCAGCTTAATCTCTTAGCTGCGGAGTCATTTAATGACAGAAGTAAAGTTTTTTTAACCAACTACCCTCGGGTACATTAATAGCATTATTCGACAGACACATATTTGTAATTTATTTGTAATATGAAATAGTTTTCCTTTCTTTTTACAGTTTAATCTTTGCATATCAATTAGAATGCACTGTAGGTCTTCAAGGGTAGAATAAACTTCTTTGGGTACATCATAAGGAAGGAAATAAGCTAAATCTTACCTGCACTGAAGTCGTTAATACTGGCAGTCTCGTGCAGACCGGTGAGACGGCGCTCGTTGTCTTTGCCTCCGCGAGGATCGTACACCTTGATGTGCTTCATGTGCACCTTGGACAGCTTGTCTATGGCCTTCTCGATTTCACTGGAAATGAAATAGTATATAATCTTACTTGTATTATAAAAGGAAAACAGTGGCTCATGGTCAGGGACCCCAACAAAATTCTAGTGACACTTACTCTTCTTTCTTAACAAACGATAATAGAACAGTATAGTATAGTCAAAGAATATTAGTCAATCATATATAGAGTACTTATTTCACAACGCTGGGCAATACGAAAGTATATAAGAAATTGTCCATAGCTTAGAGATCATGCTAAATTACAAAGTCAAAATATACCATATATTGAAGAAAATACTTACATAATACCGTTCTCTTCTCTCATCTTCTTCGTGGAGAAGTTAGTGTGTGCGCCAGAGCCGTTCCAGTCAGCTACAGGTTTGGGATCAAAGGTTACAATAACACCGTACTCCTCAGCCAAACGGTGTAATAAGTAACGCGCTATCCAAAGGTCATCCCCAGCTGTCACACCCACTGATGGACCAACTTGGAACTCCCATTGAGATGGCATCACTTCCGCGTTTGTGCCAGAAATCGGCACACCGGCATATAGACAGCAACTAAATGAGAAATGGAATAATTAGAATGTTTATAATTAGTAGAAAACGAAAATGTTTTAAAATATTATCTTGTAAGAACAGATTGATGTAATTAAGTAGGGACTTTGGACTTTGGGAGTTTCTCATTAATTGAATAAACTTACATGTAGTGAGCCTGGACGAGATCCCTAGCGAACACTTTGTTGGCCCCGACGCCGCAGTAGTAAGGTCCCTGAGGGGGTGGGCAGCCGCCAGGAGGCCATCCGAAGGGCCGCAGGTCTGCGTCCAGAAGAATGTACTCTTGTTCAATCCCGAACCATGGCTCCTCGTCCTCGCATTGGTCGTATGCTTCTTGGCATTTAATGCGGTGGTTTGTTTCTATTAAAATATCAGGCAATTACATAACTACGTTTATAATATTTAATGTGATTATAGAAATTCAAATAGATTCACGGAATTAAATGGATGTAATAAGTATTGAGTTCTCTCCGAAATAAAAACATTGATCACTCTCCAACATTATAAAGTTCTTTGTTCATAGCTTAATAAATTTTATTAAAATCCTTTGTAAAATAATAAAACTATCAACCAAGCATTTCTGCCACGGCGAGCGTTTACAAACCTATTCACTATCTTATAAGTTTTATAATAAAACTTCATCTTACCAGTAGGTTTCATGTTGTATTTATAGGTATCACACATAACAAGGATGTGGTTTCCTCGTCTGAAGGGATCCTTGTAAATAGCCCTCGGAGTAAGGTAGGTATCGGCATTGTGGCCTTCAGCCTGTCCAGTGGAACTTCCGTCAAAATTCCACTCCGGAAGATCTGGAAATAATAATACAATTATTACAAAAATAGAATCTCATAATTCTGTCACTTGTCTGATGATATCATCCGAACACAAAATATTGGGTACAACACCGATATATTGGGTAATATAATCCAAGGAAATTAATCGAAATTAATATGATAAAAATCATAATGGATAGAAAAGTACTCGTATAAGTGAAAATTAAACCGTATTTAGGTCATGACCCAGGACTCCTTCCAGGCGTCAATATCAGGCGAAAGTAATCAGATATTTTTGCTCTACTAATTAGCTACGCTACGTGCAAACAGCGCTTGTTTGGTGTTTTTCCAAAGTTGTAATGGAATTTTCCAGATTACAATTTATTGAAGTAATAAAACGTAAAATTTGTTTCTCTAACACACCAATTAAATAAAATCTGATGCTACATCGCTCAACAGTAGATAGCTTCGTTCAGTTGAATGGAAACAAGCGCATAAATTAATTATCATTTTATTAATTACCTAATGCATTAAAAACTATATTGGTTTTCCGTACCAGTTGTGATTAGGCTGCCAAGACCAGGCTCAATTATTACTAGCGTGTACCTTCGTTTCACGCAACGACACACTTCTTTAATAAAAACTTAGAGCTATATAATTAATCTGAACGTCACGAGTTAAGACACGCACACAGGGGTTACTTTACCCTCCTTATAAAAAATAAATCAGTTTAAATACATTAATTTAATATTCATTTAGTAACCTGTCACTTTTCATTATAAAATAAATACATTTTCACGGAAAAAAGAAAGGAGTACTAAAAACAGTGCAATAGTTCTGATTGAATTTTACCGAATATAGTCGTAACTAATATATAAAGTCTTAACGAGTGAAATTAAAACATCAGTAAAGGTGTGATGTAGCTGGTAAAATATATAATAAAAACATATTTTAGACTTTATACATTGGCAACCGCATATTATTTAATCAAACTCATGATAAAGTTCTGCGCAACTAAGTGATTAAATTGCGAAACAAAAACTGTTAATATTAATCTGATAAAATCCTGGTCAGCAAGTCATTGGTTGATATTTCACAAATAGTGGTCTAACAAGAATCTACACTAAATATGCAAATATATTTATAGACTACATCTGTGCCTCAGCCAAGAATAATAATACTGAAAATTATAACAAATTTACGATATGTTTACTTATAGTTTGAGGTTGTTATTAACAAATAGTTTCTAATGCTAGACAATACAATATTTTTAATAATAAGATAGTTTTACTCTATTACCGTATAAACAACGTAGTTTAACATTTAATTTTAATTATAAATAATTAGGCAGAGAACGCAAAAACTTTCCATTTTTGGCGTTCTCTGCCTTGGCTCAGTCGAGTAGCTGGTAAAATGTATATATTTTAGACTAACAACCTAGCACTAATCTACACTATATAAAATTCACTTCATACACAACCGTATCCAGAACAATAATACGATGAAACCTTTTAAATTCTCATCAAAAGAGCGTTTATTTGTCCGCTCCAGCCACTTGCATTGGAAATCGAATTCACTCTCTAAGTCTTTAGGGTTAAAAAACGGAGGGCAGTATTTTACAGTATACATGGAACTGCTACGGGTGTGTGCTTCATACAGACAGTGCTCGGTCATCGCTTCCAATATCCTTGTCAATTTGTCTAAAGATAAACAGATTCTTTAATAGCTACACACATTTTGGAAACTTAGGTATACCTTTTAGTAGCTAAGGGCCTCTGTCCTTAATGACAAACGTGGTTGTCAAAGCTTCATACCTGTGACGACACTGAAACTATGCTTTTGTCAGGAGTTACACTGGATCCAGGTTTAAAGCAATTAAACAAGCGTTAAATATGCACAGTTTAAAGATCGTTTTAATCGGTCGGTTACTAAATCTCCATAAATCGAATCAGAACCTAAAACGGAGACATACTGCCCTAGACTGTCTTATATCGCTGAATTGTCTTTGTTTTGGCCTAGTACTCGACGTTGAACCATAAGTTCGTGCTATAAATCCCGGCAGAGCTCGTACATTTATCTTTCTATGAGCAATTAACACTTATTCGTACGGTGCTGACAAACATCGTGAGGAAACATTCATACCTAAGTCGAGGACATGTCTGGGAAAGTAAGTTGTCTATAAAATAGAAAATCAATGAAACAGATAAAATATGTTCAAACATATTTCCCGGATCAGTAGCATTTCGGGTCGTCAGTTTGAATATCATTTATCGAATAAATGAACTCTATTATTCATAAAATCCATACTACACTTCACTACCTACAAAGTAACGGTTCTGTGAAAATATAGCAAAGATCTACGTTTTTAAACTATTAAGTATAGTTCGTCTCAAAAGAGAAATACGAATGACGATTTTAAGTAGACTCGTATAAGAATTTTAATTATATTATACAATATTATTTGCCAAAACGTTGGTGGTACAATTTCGAAACATTTTCCAACAAAGCACTTATTTATTGTTTCCAAGTTATCAGTAAATAACGAATAGTATAATCTAGAGCGGAAAACAATACGCGGTAACTACATAGAACTATAATAGTAATTATGCAATCATAGGTAATATGACGCGCACATTTTAACTGCAACATCCGCATTATGAACTACAATTAGCATGCGGCCTTCATTATTAAATGTTTTAACTATCGCACCATTCTTTAATTTGACTTAGACTACATCCTTCACGAGGTTAAAAAATGTATACTTTCTATATCGACAGCAAACGGGTTGAGGGCTCACCTAAGTAAGTAATACTTTTAAGAATTGGTAATCTTTCTCTTAATGAAAAGTGCGACTTTTCAGTTTTTCAACTAAGTTCTGAACTAGGTCTGAGTTTCAGTTTTAACTATTAAATGAATATAACAAAACATTAATTCATACATACATTATACCAGTCGTAATTGTTACGAGTAGTTGACTGAATAAAAACAGTGGCGCTACAGCCTTTTTAGGCCACAGATTTATGTATAAGTTTTCTTGATCATTTGTAAATCTCATAGACAAGTAGGTGATCAGCCTGTGCCTGATACACGCCGACGATTTTTTGTGTCTAAGACAAGTTTCATCACAATGTTTTCCTTCATCGTTCGAGTGAAAGTTAAATGCGCACATAGAACGAAACTCCATTGGTGCACAGTCGGGGATCGAATACGACTACGACCTTAGGTATGAGAGGCGCACGCTGAAGCCACTAGGCCATTCCACCGACTTGAATAAACCAATCGAATTATGTTTTGAGTTAAAGAAACATATAATTATATTTTTAGATGCATGCAGATAGTCTATAGCCTTGCACAATATGTAATTTTGATCAATGACGAGGGGAAAATTCTAACTCATGTCATTCAATACAAAATGAAAATGACAAGGAAACAATTTATTATTTTAATAGACCCTAAATAAGATCCAAATCTGATACCTGTTACCGTGTATTATTTCCAGGGTGGATCGTTAGTTAGGGGTAGACACTACAGGCTCAAACATATATATAGATAATTAGACATATACCTTTTGGCTGCTTTGGAATGAATCCGATGGTACGATCCTTGCACCGCAAGTGCTCTCCAGTGCCATCTATCCAAATGTATGTGGCAATTATTTTATCAGCTGGCAGTGGTAGGTCTTGGTACCGGCTTAGCAGTGTTTTTGATAACACAGCATTAGGCGAGTTCGTTAGAACCGGCCCCGATAGGATTTTAGGGTTATCTGTAAAAGAAAACATGATAAGTACATAGTAATTAACATGTGACCATCCAATGTTATTATTTTAATAATGTTTAAATATGAATTTAATCATAAAGTCTAATTAGCGTTTGAGATACTATTTCAATCTATAAACAGTGGAATTATCTTCAAATTATATAGATGACTAAAAAATATTTTGAATTTAGAATCATATTAAAGCTTACGAATAATATTTTAGAAATAATTAAAAGCCTTTTTTATAGTTCGGTTCAAAAATCAATTTGAATATTGTATTTTTACTCAAATTTTCCTTTCTACGTTTGTTGCTCGAGAACCAGCAATGTTTATATAAATGAAGATATAAATAAGCGATCAGTCAGTGGCATTGAAGACGTAATTTCTTCCCGGAATACGGCGGTTGCCTTGTCCAACACTGGCAAGGAAGTCCATAATTACTTTTACGTTTTTCTAAATATACCATATATCGGCGTTGCAGGGGTAGCGCATAAATATATTTGTATATTAATGTTATTTAGTAATCATGTATTTCTTGCTTTATACAGTTTAATAAGCCAATATAATAATAAATTAGTAGATTAATAAATATATCTAAACGATAAAGATTTATCACCTTTTTAACTTCCTAAAGGATCTAAGATGAGTTTAAAATCTTTACAAAATATCTTAAACGTTGACGCGTTCTAAATGAGTCGGAGTGTTATTGTATATTTAATAAATTCCAAAAGGCTAAGATAATTTCCATAATATTTAATAAAATTTCGCTAACATAAAATAAATTTCTTATATATTTTAATTCCTATTCCTTTCTTAGAAGTTCCATAACTTGAAATAAAAATGACAACCTGGCCGTCGATCTTTCAGAATCAACATCACATAAAATACATACAGCTGTTGTATCTTGAATATGTTTTAATAAAAAAACACTTTGTAATATGGTTTGTTTCACAAAAAATTTCCCATTCATCAAATCTATTGACAATTTCAACAACGATGACGTTTCATACTTCGAATTTCTAATAATCTAGTACCAGGATCTGTCAAACTAAACGTCACAAGTCTTATTATTATTTACTAGATGACCCGGTGAACTCCGTATCACCTACATATTATATTTGTGCCAATACTTAAAAACCCATAGAGATCGGACCTCATACTAATAATAATATAATCATAATAATTGTTTATTTCTAAAAAGACGAAATACATCAAATATTTTATTGAAAAGTTCAATTGTCCACCGTTTAAGCTTTTCCTGAACTTACACAAATATTTTAATTAGTCAAATCGGTCCAGCCATATTAGAGTTTTCGTGTCATCTCTCAATAATACTCTGGTGTTTTATGGTGTCTGTACAGTGTACACACTCGAAAGCCCCACCTGGTATGATTCCGAGTTAAACATTACATTATCTGTATTTTTAATTACATGATTGTCCATTTGGTGGCGCCAATCACCCGTCTTGATCACTTGGCGTATACTAAGCCCAAATTTGAGCGCCTCTGAATACAATGTACGATTTTATCATCATAACTCGCGCCACGTTTTTTTAATCTAACCCTATGAGCGCACACAACAAACACATCTGTTAAACTACAAGCACCCTTTGACTCGGGCCCAAAGACCAACAAGCGGTGGAGAGCAAACAGGGCGAGTATACCTACGTTTGCTCTCGCTGGTTTCGTTTAAAAAATTCTACTAGTTTAAATCTCAGCAAGTTTATACGGCACACTGCAGAGGTGTGCACGGCCAACGAAGATAGATTTTTGTTATAACTTACTTTCTATTTTCGTGCTGTCCGCCATGCCTGCTAATTGTTATGACCTGGAACAAATAAAACATATTATAAGCATGTTTTTATAATTCAAGCCTTTGGTGCTAATATTAATAGTACTTTTAAACTAAAGTTATTTTAGTGGCTTGACCGAGCGACACTCCCGAGGTCTTAGTTCTGATCCCGGATGGACGGACTTTCTATGTCCTAGTATGGTGAAGGAAAACATCGTGAGGAAACGGTGAGCTTAAACCCAAACACAACGGTGGGTTAGGACAGGCTAATCATCATCAATCATCTAAAAAAAGAAGATCACGAACCAGATACGGAAATCGGAGGCAAGGGTCTGTAGGTCTCTGATTTTTTTTTACAGTATAAAAAAAGTATTTATTAAAATAACTATGCGTGTTCATTCTCCCTTTTAGTACTAAATACGGGGCGCTGCCATAGTAATCCATACACAAATTATATATAATTGTGTATCGTATTCAAACCGATGAAACTATCATAGACCTGACTTGTGCTGTTTGTAAATTAAATTTTACTTATCGTTGTATAATAGATACACGTGTATTAATGAAATTAAGACCATTCGTATATTTCGGAATGTTATGCAGCTCATTTGGCATTGACACAAAATACCGTTTACGATGGGGCGTCAGGGCATAAAATTTTCGTCATCAATCTAAATCAATTTAGCAATATTAGTTAGTTTATATTAAGGTATATTTAATTTTTTTTTCCATTTATTAGCATTACGGTTCTTAATGATCTCGGATCCGAACCGAATCCAGGACATACGTAAGGAATCAAAAGCGGAGCAGTCCGGACTAAGTCCGATGATGGAAATACTATCTAATGGGTACTAACTATCTTATGGGTACACAAATTTTCTGTTCCTGATTGGTGGAATACCACCTATATACCTTATTAGGTATATTGGTTTTGGTAAATGGGTAATAATACCTTTCAGGAAAGTGTTTAAATAAAATTTATTGGCTCGCGGCCCGGTGCGTGCTTGCGTGAACAAAGAAATAATTCTAGCTATCTTTTCATACTTGAAGCAAACTTCCCCCTTCTTGGTTCAAACCCGGGTGGAGTCTATAAATAGACCATTGACTTTTTTATTTATTTACCTTTGGTCGCAAAAAATACAGTATTACGTACAGTACAGTACGATGTGCACAGGCAATGCTTGTACAGTAGAGATTTAATGGAACATAGAGAATGCACTAGCGGATAGTGACAGTTAAATTTTTGTATGACACTAATATATTGACTCATTTTATCGCGGAAGGCGCGATGTTGTCTCTTAATTCGCCTTATAAGGGAACAACTTTACGATTGCAATACATGAGTAAGTAATATCTTTTTTATAATATGTTTAACATCCATTGTTTGAATGCTTTTAATGTGTATTTTTCATGATGGTTGCAATTAATGTATGACAGCTAAAAATATAAAACTTTGATGATTTAATGCGACAAACGTGACTATACGCTTAAGATAACCATACATTTAAGACACAAGAATATTTACGGCCTCCTTAACGTCCATAAAATTATCTCTCACAGAACATGAATAAAATTAGTGTTATAGACGAGGAGAATGGTTAAAAGAGGCACGAGGTCTTTTTTAGATTAATTGGCAATATGGTGAAGTTTAAGAAATAATCCAGTATCGAAATTCGAATCGAAAATCCAGAAATAAGCCTATTTGGGCTTCACACGTCAAGTTGAAAATGGATTACATCATTTTCAACTTGACGTGTATTTTTTGTGTATGTTATAGACAATAACGTGAACAAGGGTTCTTGACTATTCGGTTTATCATCTGTCAAGACGGCTGACGAATGTGACGGTTTCCTCACGATGTTTGGACCGTTGAAGTGTTAAATACGCACTTAGAAAAATAATCAATCAACGGATTTGACGGCACAATGACTAGTGACTACGAGCGAGCGACTCTCAGCCCTGAGAGCGTTGCACGACGCCCGCTTAAGGCCCTATCCCAGCACGAATTGCTGTGTTAGTGTCTCGGGGTGGACTGCGGTGCGCAGTGGAGAGCTGGAGCACTGAGGCGCGCCGGCCCGTAATAACAATTAGTTATTTAAAACATTAAATTAATGTAATTTTATCAATTTTTTTCTGAAATGGATTACTTGGCTTGCGATAAAATATATCGTGTAAATTTCAAAATCATGTTCTATATACATTTTCTTCATAAAATGAATTCAAAGTGTCAACAATTGGCTATGTTTGGATTTTTTTCTATCGACCGAAGTTATTTAAATCGTGTATCGATCTTTCAAAATGGATACATAAACTACTCAACTCCACCATATATTTTTTTCCATTCGCCCTACTTCAAGAAACGATGACGAAAAATGGAAAGAAACAATGTACTTTTTTGGAGTTTGGCGACCGGATAGGTCCTTAACCACAGCAACGCTCAGTGAACTTAAATTATGTTTAGTAACACTTAACTCGGAGTACACTGAACCTTAACACAAGCGATAAAACATTCATGTTTATATATCTTGTTCGATACGTTTATCTCGTTAACTTGACCCATTTGTGTGTTTCGGGCCTTGGTACACATATGCCGGTTATCTTAAGATTAAAATTCACTGCACTCAGTAATAACGATTATTTTTTATTTCGAAATTTGGTATTGGCACTCCATGTCAAGAAAAAAATATGTGTGTCAAAAAGAGTTTTAACTCATCACTTACGTTAAAAGAACAACGAATTTGCATCAAAGCGTAATAGACATACACAAATATATATACATAAGTTACTTTTATGTCCTATGCTATTTCCTCTCATACTAAGCCAAAGCAGAGTTCATAGGTTGTTAAAGAGATTTTATAAAGAAAGTTTTCAATTGGGTTCAATAGTTATGCACTAAGGTATTTTAAATTTATCGTCTTGGCAGAGAAATACATTCAGATAAAGCAATCGGCCAATGCAAAAGTATTTCGTTTAGATGGTATCCTACAGAGCGTCCTATTGTGACCGACATCTTTGTGTATATTTTTCTTTATTGGCTTGTTTAGTAAGCTGAGCGTTTTATAAAATATTTAGTGTGGCATATGTTAATTGTTAATGTTGATTGACTCACTTGACAATGAATTCCTGGCTTATTAATGTACTTAGTCAAACTTAGACGTATGTTAGGAGGAAGAGTCGGTTTAAAGAAGTTTTTGAATTAAATTTAATTATATTTATGTTTTGCTATTTTAGATAACATACCTAACTATCCACCACTAAGCTGTTTCTAATAATTTTTGTTTAAATGTTTATTAATTTTTATTTTTATTAATTATATATGTTAAATTTTAATTTTTTTTTCTAATAATTTTTATATAATCTCATTCGGTAATATTCTAATTATTAAGACTTATATTGGCATATTTTATTTACATACTTCTTTAAGGAAATTAAAAAATTAAATTAAAGCATTATTCTCCTAACAAAAAAATGTTTTTAATTTTTTTTTAAATTATTAAAGCTGCGCGCGCAAAGCGCTGGTTCCGAGCCAATAGACCAATAACAGACTTTTTCCATTTTGGCGCTATTTCGTACATACGAATTTGAGTAATATTTTGTTGGATAAAACTTTAGTAGCAAAAATGTCAAGCAACACCGACGATACCGATGAAAATTTAACTCCACCTGATATTCTAGAAACAGTACGAAACTGACGAATAGTCTTTTGCCAGAAAAATCAAGAAAAGCGTTCGACAAATGTTACCAAGACTTTATGACTTGGAAACCTATAGCCATGAGATTAAATAAGTAGTGTATGCAACTGCATATAATTAGGTATTAAAACACTCGTGCAATCTTATTTTCCAAAAAACTACACTCAGGTTTTAATACCTTATATTATATGACAGTTGCATAAACTACTAATTGAATATACTTCTTTGCAACTGGGCAACGTCTATTGATATTTTTTGTAACCAAACCACAATGATTTTAGACATTCCATTATAACAAACGTAATTTTGACCTAGTCATTTTCCTTGAACAATGGCCTTATTGTAAATCGATTGTTTATTAAAATATAGAGTATTGTTATTAAGATTTGCTTTACGTCACTAAAAAATAAACACAAAGATGACATTCAATGCTGTCAAAAAGATATTTATTTTTTAACAAATGTCAAGATATCTTATATAATAAATATGAATTGTTGGGCAAATAAAAGTGTAAGCAAGGAGTATGGAAACATGGCTAAAATTATATGAATAGAATTATCAATATCGCGTTGTATGAATTAGTAACGAAGTTTATGGATAATAACTTAATTTCCGTATTCCTTTAAATGATAAGGCTACCACCGCATTACCACTGTGGCCCTGCGACCATTGTGCCATCATATCATAATTCTATGTCCCATGTCGATTGATTGAAGTAAAACTATTATTGTTTCTTTTTTGTTTATATTAAGACATTTTCATAGCCCTTTAATCACGCAGACTATGTGTAAAAACAATTTTTTATATGAGATTTTATTCCTTGTTTTTGTAATTTATGGTAATGTTTACTCACTTGCGACTGAATTTTTTTGTGTATTTTCCTTCATTCAGTTTGCCTAGAAATGGCTCGCTAGGCTTATTTGTTACTTAAAATTATGTGTGTTTAGTACAGTGTTTTGCATGAATATAATTACAATAGTAGACACGTATTCATAGAGTCATCTTTTTTTATTATTGTTATCCAAGTTACCTCGCAACTAATTTACATCACTATAAAATGTAAACAAATATCATTAGCCAATCGATGTCTAGTGCGCGTCCTTGAACGGATATTTTGGTTCTCTTCCAAAAGCCTTCGGAAAATCGATTTGTATATCAACTTATTACGGAATTTTTATGCTGTATTGGTACTTTCCATACTCCAAATAAAATATATATATGTTTAGTAACACCTAATAGAACTTTACATACATATATTTGTCATTAGACGAGGACTGGACATTTATGACGATGTTTTACTCTCATAGCAACTGTTAATTGCGTCA